GGCAAGTGCGCGCAATCAACGCAAAGGGATGGTGGGGTCTCCGACGCATATGTGTGCGGCCTTGCGCGCCTCTGATGGAAGCCGTTAATCTGAGGGGCTGCTGTTACAGGCGAACAGAGACCCCGGCCTGGCTCTGCCGCCGCGCGCCACGGGCCACGCATCTGCCAACAAGCCGCCCACCGTGACTTCGCCGGCAGCGGCCCTGACCGCCACGACCGGCCGCCTGCTGGGAACGGCCGTACGAGGGGCTGCATTGGCCCTGAATGTGCGACCGGCAAAAGCCTAGGAAGGATGTGGGGCGCGAGATCGGGTGGGGTTGGGTGCCAGCAGGTATCCATTCGCCCTGAGACGGTGCCAAAAATAGCAGCGTCATATATACGTCCAATTGGGTGGGTCATTCCGACCAGCCGTGGACCAGCATTGCAGGTCGCACCTGCTGAGCGAGAGCCATGGCTGCTGTTCAAGCGCTAGGTTCGAGATGAGGTGTTGAATACAAGTATACAATCCGTCAGAACGTATGAGTAAGATCTATGCGGGCCCCTTGCAGCAGGTGGCCGACTGCCGCTGCTGGTGCTCGGCCTCGCTGGTCCGGATGCCCCTCTGTGTGGATCACATGCACTGGCCGCTTCTACAAGGAGTTGCGCTGGGGTAATGCTGAAACGCAGCCAAAGGACACAAGTAGAAGTTCTTGCACATGAACCGGAACAGCAGCCATTGAGAGGCTGTGCAGTCTCAGCGCAGTCCCCCTCATGATGGTACCGCCCAATACGATGTTCCCTGACGCCCCACCAAGCGTTCCATCGACTCGCCTTGAAGCCGCCAGACTCTATGCAGCATATAAATTTCCGTCTCTCAAGCAGCAATGGCGATGGACGTGGCCAGGGGCACTGCCGGCAAACATGGTCAATCAGGGCGCAAGGAACGCCCTGTTTCTGCTGCATTGTATTCAAGTTTCAGCAGCGGCGGCCAGCCAACCCAAGAGACTAGACTCAGAACGGAATAGCAGCATTTTGAATAACGGCACCAGTCACCACCTCAAAACCCCTCAATGGCCATGAGGGCCTCATGGCATAGCCCAATAACAGCCAAATGGAGCAGTAGAAACGTTTACCCTCGGTGAGGCTGCGTGCAAGGTGTTGTTGAAGGCCAGCTGGCACAGCTGCGGGCTTACCAGGCACGATAGGCTTCGCGGCATATAGAGGAAAGGACGGCTGCAGGGCGCGACCACCCTCTGTTTCAGCCCGCGTGCCTCAAGCAAGCAGGTGGGTGCGGCGCGCAACTGAAAAGCGCTTCCCCTGAAGTCCATCCCTGGATGGCTTCAGCAGAAGGCGACTGCAGCGCTTGCGGCAACCCGGTTGAATCTTTTGCCCCTCCTGCAACCCGCTATGTGCAGATGGTGCAACTTTGATTGTATTTTACACAGGGCTACGGGAGGCACACGAATGGAGAACTCACACAACGCCTTGCGCGCTCAATCACTGCACTCAAAACCCCAAAAAAGCCCGCGGCGGAGCGAATAAAAACCGCCGCGCAGCCAGGGCCGGGAGCCCGCCGCCCGCGCGCCGCGCTTCCCGCTCAAACCTCGAACCGGAGCGCCGGCCGCGCCGTCCGAATCGGGCGCCCCATCGGGCATCGATCGCTCAGGCCTGCGCCTTCTTGGTGAAGGACTCGAGGTACCGCACCTCGGCGGGGCTGCCCACGAACAGGGGCACGCGCTGGTGGACCTTGGTGGGCACGATGTCCATAACGCGCTCGGTGCCGGTGCTGCCCAGGCCGCCGGCCTGCTCGGCGATCATGGACATGGGGGCGCACTCGTACAGCAGGCGCAGCTTGCCGTTGGCGTTCTTCTTGTCCCCGGGGTAGCCGTAGATGCCTGGGCGGCGGGTGGTGGAAGGTGAACCATCGGAATATCGGTGGGTGCATTGATAAATAAATGTCAGGGCGAGCACGAGGCGGTGGGTCAGGCACGGGTGTGAAGGCAAGGCGAGGTGAGGCGGGGCGCAAGGAGGGCAAGGCCATGGCGGGCTGCGGACAGGTGAGGGTGGAGGCCGGGCGGCCGCCACAGCGCGTCACACGTGAAAGCGTAAAGAGGGGAGGGGGCGCACCTCCGTACAGCAGGGTGCGGTGGAAGTCGCCCACGAGGGAGCCGATGTAGCGCGCGCTGTAGGGCTTGCCTGCACAGGCGCAACGGTGGGACGAGGTGGGACGGCTGAGGCAAGCAGGGGCGTAAACAGGCCAGGAGGACAGCGACCGCGAAGACGGCGCCACCAACCACGCGCGCTGTCCTCACAGGCCGTTCCCCTGCCGGGTCCAGCCTCGTGTGCTGGGCATGTGTGTGTGCGCGTTCGTGCGGCAACCACGGCCCGAGCCCGCCTCAAGCCCGCCCCGCCCGCCCCGCGCACCGTCCCAGAGCTCGGGCTTCTTGAGGGAGTCGATGTAGCTGCGGGTGGCGTCGTCCCAGAGCTCGTAGTTGCCCTCGTTGAAGGCGTAGATCTTGCCCTTCTGCTCAGCGGAGGGTTGGGTTGGGTTGGGTTGGGCGGCGAGAGGGGCGGCGGGGGAGGGGGGAGTGGGGCGGTGGAGATCGCACGGAGCCAGCAAACCGACAGACGCACACCACGCACGCACTCCAGGGCGGACGGCGCGCCGCGAGGACTCGATCCGCCGCGGAAAAACGCACAAGCTGGGGCTTGAACCTCCGACCTCAGCCTTTGGGCCCCGCCCCGCCCCGCACCTCGGGGATCTGGATGCGGTCGTGCGTCAGCACAAACTCGCCCACATAGGGGTCGAGCGTGAAGCCGTACACGCCGTCGCCGATGGTCAGCACGAGGATGGTGCAGCTGCTGTACAGCACGTAGCCGGCCGCCAGCAGGTTCTTGCCGGGCTGGCACACGTTGGTGATGCATGAGGCGAGGGTCTTCTCGGGGTCGTCCATGTCCACGATGCACTCCTCGGCGGGCGAGTAGACGCCAAAGATGGAGCCAACGCTGATGCCTGCGCGAGCGGACGCGGGCGGGCGTCAACGCGGACGTGTGAAACCGGGCTCGCGGTGCGTGTGGTGGAGGCGCAACAGCGTGGCAGAGGGCGCGTGCGGGCGGGCCCCGCTGCAGGCTCGGCTCCCGCGTGCTCCGCAGAGGAGCCTCGGCCGCGCCCAGCGACCGCAGCCGCCACCAAACAGCGCGGCTCCCTGCCATTGTCCCCATGAGCAGAGCGGCCAGCTGGGGCAGGGTCTCTCGCCCGGCCCTCGCCCCTAAAAGCAAACGCACCCGCGTCGATGTTGCTGCTGCCATCCAGGGGGTCAAACACCACGATGTAGTTGCCGCTGGTGGTCTCCTCCACGCCGATGGGGTTCTCCTCCTCCTCGGACGCGATCACGCCGGTGCGGCCGCAGTTGCGGAGGCACAGGGAGAAGATGTCGTTAGAGATCACGTCCAGCTTCTTCTGCTCCTCGCCCTGGGTGGATGAGGTGAGGTCACAGATCAGGTTATGAGGTGAGTTCAGATCGGACGAGGTGAGGGGCGGCGGAATCGCGGCGGGTGAGGTGGTGGGAGGGGGGGCGGCCGGTCCGCAGCCCAGGGAACAGGGCCGCGTGGCGCGCCGAGCGCGGTAAGCGACGGCAGATTTGACAGGCCGAGATGGGGCTCGGCCTGGTGCGGGCTCCGGGCGTCCCTTGAAGAGGGCAGCCCTGCTTCCCCACCCAACCCACACACACACACACACACATGCGCGCGCGCGCTGCACATGCGCGAGCACCGCCCCGCACCTGCACGTTCTCGCCGGTGCCGGCGACGCCGGTGAGGCTGCTGATGCCGGCGCGGCCGACGGCGGCGGCGATCTGCTTGCAGGCCACGCTGATGGAGGACAGCACGGTGGCCAGCTCGGTGTCGAGGGTGCCGCGGCGCTCCTCCTGCAGGAGGGCGGTGTTGCAAGAGGGGGGTGGGGTTGGGCGGCGTGGCGCGGCGGGGAGCCGTGCGGGCGGGCGGCTGCCTCTGGGCGGCGGCCGGCGCCGCCTGCGAGCGTGCGCCGCGCGCGGCGCTCGCGGGCGCGAGGCGCGCGTCGCCTGCGGGCATGCGCGGCGCACGGCGCTTGCAGGCGTGCGCGGCTCGAGGCGCACCCCGAAGAGCCAGGTGTTGAAGGTGTAGAGCTCGTACTCGCTCTTCCTCGCCTTGGGCGCGGCAGCGGCGGGGGCCTCCACAGCGGCGGCCTGCGCGACGCGGATGCGTTTAGGACAGGGGGCACCGTTGGCGGGCCGCTATGGGGCATATCAGCAGCGCAGCCGGCCCACGAGCACGAGGCAACGGCGTGCAGCGCCTGGCGCCAACGGCGCTGCAGGCTCTGGGACCGCTTCAGATGCCCATGATGTCGACAGCTGGCATATAATATCGTGGTTCTCACTCAATCCAGCTGCTCTTGAGGGTTCCATGCGCTAACATGCGCAAGTTACTCAGCGGGACAGCCCGATCTGCTGCTCCAGCGCCTCGGGGGCCCTCGCACGAGTGCCATACGCGTCAAGCACCATATTTCGAAGGCATGGGTCCGGCCGTGGGGCCAATGTGCTGCGAAAGGCGGTGCCGCTGGCATTGCGCACTTCCGCACGAAGCAGCTCGCACCTTGCTCACGACGCCGGAGCGGGCAGCCGCGCCAGAAGCACCAGCAGCCTGGCCAGCCGCATTGTTCAGCTGCGCGACGGGCTTGAAAGCCACGCGGGGCGCAACCCGCTTCTGGCTCGCCACGGGCGCGCAGGTCCCGACACGGTGGGTAAGGGCCGCCATTTTGGATTTCTGTTTCCGGATAAAGGTGTGCAAGCGGTCGCCCGAAGAGCTATTTGAACCGCGACACGGAGAATCGAAAGCACGGAAACTGCCGGCATTGTGCACGTCTGCATCTTCCAAGGCTGGTGCTGCGTCTTTATGGTGCCCGATTCGACATGGCTCCTCGATCTGGCTGCACTGCTGTGCGTGGGCCCTGCTAAGGACGTGCTGCTTCCGGCGGTCAACATTCAAGTGCACACAGCGGATGAGCATTGACCTGCATTGACGGCTGGCCTGCGTGTGCGCGCTCCTATGCTGTGTCGGACATAGCACTCTGTCATGTGCGGGCTACCGTTCGGCAACGCAGCCCAGACAAGCAAAACCACGCCTAGCCAACCAACGTCAGGGCTTTGCACGGAACGGGCATCCTTTGCAGACAGCAGGATTGCAGATATACAAGTTGGATGCGACCGCGTGCACCTCAGATGCGCTGTCTAAGGAATGTGAGCCGACTGGCTTGCTGTCTTGTGCCCACCGAGAAGGGACTGGCTGCTGCGAGTTGGCATCAGCAAGCCTGTGCCACACCTGTACAGTATGCGCGTGTGGGGTTGCAGTGCAGAGCACGTTGACAAATCCCACATTGTTGTCGCGCACAGCTGCTGCGGTGATGGAACACCGCCACATCTCGGTTCGCTTGGCTGTTGTCGCACTAGCGTGCCCTCATGCCCTCTGGTCAGCTTTTCGGCTGCGCTGAGGCACTGGTGTGCTCCTCCAGGCTACGCAGGTATGCGTGGAGCTTGGTTGCGTCCACGGTAATGTCGTGGGTGCGGCTTAGAAGCAGGTGTTGGTGGTCTGAAAGTACACTTCAACTACCTGAAAGACGCAGCCAGCCTTGAAGAACGGGGGCGTAGTCGCAAGTGTGCAACCCAGTGCTCAAAGCGAGTGGGGTATCCCTGACCGTACCCGTTCCACTGTAATGTATTAGGAAGTTATATCGTACTCAAATGCCAGACTGCTTGCATCGTCAAAATGCGCATGAAGAGCACAGCAGGTGGTCTGAGGTCATCAGCGCTGTGGCAGGGGATTTCATTGCACGGTATCACGTTGCTACACCACGCACCGAAAAATTGGCTTAGAGCAGACTTCCTTTAAACAAATGGTTCGCCGAAGCACCCATTGTCAGCTGATCTCGAGTCAGCCGATCTCGCGACGAGCGGTCCAACACCATAACCAGGAGGGAAGCGTTGCACTCATCCAGCATGGCGTGGGCACTGCTGCGCCGCCTGTCACCCCTCAAGCGGCTCCGCGCGTACGTCCGCGGCACAGACCAGCGCGAGGTGCAGCGGCAGGCCGACCTCCACCGCCTCTTCCTCTACACCAGCCTCTGGCAGGAGCTCCAGGCCAGCCGTGTACGCGGCACCGGGAATCTAACAGCATTTGCTCAACAAGTAGTTGAGAAGGTGAGCAGTGGCAGCTGCCGCAGTCGCGTCGCCGCCACGAGACCGCAGCCAACCCTCACCGCGTCGTGCACCTATCCTATCCATAACGACAAGGCCAAAACGATGCCCGCGGCAGAGCTGGACTCGGAGGTCCAGCGCTCGCTTCGCGCGCAGCTGGTCGCAGCAGCGCGCGCACTTCATGAAGAGCTGACCAGCGCTGGCGACGGGCTGCCAGCAGCGCACGCGCTCGAGCGCGCAGACTCGCGGCGCGCCGCGTCGCACGCGGGCGGCGAGCAGGGGGCGTCGGCGGCGGCGGCAGCGGGCGGCGCGGGCCTGGCCGCGTTGGGCGACGCTGGCAGCGGCGGCGGCGGCAGCGGCGACGACGACGACGACGGCGAC